CCGGTCGCTTTGCTTAGCACATCGTTGATCGTGCCAACAGCCGTCGAGTAGCTCTCGAAAATGTCGAGTGTGATAGTCGTCGTTGTCGACGGCGGCTTCGGCAGGCAGCGGCAACGGCGACAGCCGGATCCGGAAGCCGTCGCCGGTGATCGCGGCAGCCGCCGCCTTCGTCGCGCGTCCGCTGGCGTGCGCGCTCTACGAAAGTTTGTTTGCTTTTTGTATCTTTTGTTCCGGTCCCTGACTATTTCCCTCGGCTCCTCGGCCGGCTGTCCCACATCTCCTTCCTCACACGTACTGTCTCGTCGCGTAATATTTGCGATTCTCATTTCAACTCCATTGAATTCTTGTCAAACAACGGCGCGTTTTCCGTTTTGATTTCTAGAACGACAAACTGCTTTCACCCGTTTGTCCATTTTCACCGGTGAATTTGACCATTTTTCACGCCTTCCCCTGACCACCATCTACCATTTTAAGAAGAACGGTAGCGTACTAGATAGGGCATTGCCATAACGAATTGTGCCCCATATCAGCAAGGTCATAGACATTGGGATGCGAGTGCGCAACTGTCATATTAGCATTAGTCAACATTTTCGATGTACCATTTTCTGCCATTATAATTTGGAAATCAATTTTGAATGTACAGCTGTAGTTTCATTTTTTTGTACGATGTAACTCCAGGAACATTCCAAAATGAGCAAATTGTCGGTTTGTTTGCCTATCCATACGAGTGACTTTATCAAGGCAAAATCGCCTACCATTTCGACATTCAATTACTTGTTGTCTCGTTGTCAAGATTTCGTCCCTGTTGTTGATATGGAGCAGTTTCCCCTCCACAGAACCACTGCCGTGTACCGTTTTCAATATTTAGTGGAGTTGTGCAGCAACGATAATGTCCCACAGGGCGTCGGATGACGGGTAAGACTAAAATGTAAGGTACTCTTACCCGAACGGAGTCGACCAACAGTAAGTGCAGGGCTTACGTAGTTGTGAAACGGTCAGCTCTTCTGCTTGCAGGTTTGTTGGCTGTTTGTCACACCCGGCAGCTTACTTTCTTCTGTGACCGGCCGCTAAGCGATCAGAAATCACTGCGATTGTGCTCCAAGTTGCTACGAAGTACTTCGTAGAGGTGAATGGTAAACCCACGGGGTATACGTTGGCCAGGGGTTCCCGGCCGGTAAGGGATAGCGTTTAGGACTCGATTCTTGGTTACCCCCTCCACCCGCCCCTATGGCATCCATGTAAGAGGACTCTAAGACACTAAGGTGGAGGGCTGGTTTCCGATTAAATATCGCGAGTTTGTAAGTCAATATAATAAAAAAAATTTAAGAATGGACCGAATGCGTTTTCAAAGTGTACGGATTTGTCCGAGAGTTTTCCTTGATTCGTCGTGAGTCCTCTGAATCCAGTGGTATTTTCTTTACAAGAATGCTTATGAATGCTTTTGTGCGTATGAAATATAGCGCACGTTTTTTGACGTCTTAAGTTTCGATTTTGTTGGATCGTTCGAATTCTTTTCGACGCTCAAGTGCTCGCGCGACCAATTCTCTCAACAAGTTCGAGTGGCGTGCTGAATGCTGTTGGTGTTGGTGTGACGATGATGGTGAGAGGATCGTATGGTGTTAGCCGTGTGTGATTTTGATCCCTCGATCTACTTCCTGTTGAAGTTTTAATGATGACCAGTTTTTTCTTAGTCGCCCACTCCTTCAATTGTCTTCGATAGAAATAATTTTGCGGCTTCGCCTTTTCCGTTGTCTTTCATAGTTTTTCTTCTGTTGGTTCATTCCACGGAACACCGAGGGGTACTGTAAGAGTAGTTATCATTATCGAACTCAAACTACATCGTTAAAGCAACCGTTTTATGCACTGTAGCAACGAAAAATACGCTGATTTGGTCTCATCGTTCGCACGGCTGCGACCAGTCGGTTCGATTTTCAAGTTTTTTCTTATCGATATCCTTAGCCGGAGCGCGGCGAACTCAGATCATGAAGAGCGCCCCGTGAGCGCTTCTCAGGTTTTTTGTTCGTTTTTCGAAGAATCGAAAAGGAACGGATTAAAGCTGATTAGTCTGGGGTGGTTCCTTTGGTCAGTGTTCCTAGTCGTATGCAATGAAAGGACAATTCATGAGTGAAAGCAGTTGATCTCAGCCCAGACACAAGGAACACTGAGTGGTTCTTTCAGTGCATTTGACCTTTCTGTTCAAAAGGCTCTTGATGATCTTCATAATGGAATTCACGAATTAAAACCTTAAATGGTTCGAGTCCATCATGAGCCGATTGTATTGGATACCCCAAGATAATAGTCCTCCTGTTCGGAAGAAATAAGTAACCTAAGGTTTTAATAATGACGGTTTTTCCGTGCCTATAAGTACCTCCAGATGTCGACTGATTGAGAGAAGGAAGTTAATTGGTCATATAGAGGGATCTATTGACTTGTGCTGTTGCTCTGAATGACGAATGTATGTGAAGAGGAAGGGAAATACTTTGAATATTTCCACGAGTCCAACTGGTTTCTGGTCAAGAAGTGGCCGTAGTTCAGGACGAACCCTCTGAGCTTCGGAAATCGTATTTTCTTGACCTCTTGGTCCGAGTTTTTGAACAAACCTGCCCCAAGTCATGGTGAGCCTTTTACTTTTACCTTGCTTGAATAAGCTTCCCCTTGTACATTAGCCATCCCCCGACTGCCCAAAAGAATGTCTTTCCCATTTTTTCTTGAGAAACCAACTCTTTTCACTGGAAACTTTTGCCATTATGAACCAGTTAGTGATTTTCTGTGAATGTTTTTTGGTGTGTTCAATGTAATGGTAGACTTTTTAAACTGTAGAAATGTTATGTGACAAGTGTGTTTAAACAGTTTCGAATGATGACGATGATGATGAAGAAATCGATTTTGCGAAGTGCACTGCGGTCGAAACAGGTGGATAAACACTGAAAACACTGAAGCAGGCCATTTGTTCGGCAAAGAAATGTTGGACGAGTGAGAGAGTTGCGAGGGTGGCTTTCAGATTTGTCGTCTTCAATAATAGGCGATGTTGAATTTCCTACCTTACCTTAAACTTCGGTTCCGACACGCTTCTCACGCAGCATTCGCCCACACGGATTTCCTCGTCTGTCGTCTGCAGTTCTTTGAATCGAACTTGCTCTGGCTTCACATAGTATGTGACTTCATGGTTTGAAAGTGTTGTACATGTGGGACTGGGTTAGCTCCACCTATTTTTGGCTGAGTTTGAGCTTTTGAGGTTTCCGGGAAGATAGGAGTGATGGCCGAATTTTTATTTCTTGGGTGTTCTGACCATGTCGAGCATCCAACAAGTACGGTAGGGAAAAGGATCTCTTATTTGGGTTTTCGGCTCCTGTTGAGTCTGCGTCTTCTCCAATTGACGATTCCGATAATCAGGCTTTCGTGGTTCGTGGTTCCTGGAATGTTGCTACTCATCTTTGATCCCCTCTCCTTCAGGACCGACCTAACTTGTTGCTTTATCCCTAATGTTATAGAACCTTTTCTGGCGCCATTTACAGGGGGTGGACATCTAAAGTCATGCACCTTTGTTATAACTATAACTCTACGTTCTAGTTGAATAGTTACAACGATTGCTGTGAACCCACTGATTGTTTGGCGAATGCTCCACTAGAACATGATCCAGGGTGATTTCAGTTACTATCTGGGCAGAACACCGACGACATCCCTCATTTCATCGTTGGAAACGTTCGTTGTAAATTTTTAAGCAGTGTTTTGAGATGACATCCTACTGGAAGTGTGTTTGTTCAACCAGTTTTTGTGATTGTCGCAGTAGTTGAATTCTTTAGAAAAAAAAAGAATTCCGTACGACGGAAAATAGAGCAAAAAGCTATTGAAATGCGCAAAGTACCAACTACAGTAACCCAATCGGTAGAGGATTTTCCGGTATGGCACGTCATTGATTTCTGTGAATTGATGGCTGCTGTGAACGAAGTTCGAAACTTTATTCGAGAAAAGATCAAATTTGGTTTGACAATTTGAGAGAGTGATGAATACGGTAAAGGCCGTTGCGTTCATCACGATGCCTGTCTGTATGTGTGCGATTGCGGTCTGATGAACTGGTTTTCAGCAGCAGCAGCGTGTATGGGCGGGATTTCCTGATTCGGTGACCGAAACAGTAAGCGAGTTTGCAAGAGTCGAAGCAATGATTGGTGTTTATCAAACTAATTGTTCGTATAACTGGTTCGGGTGACAGATTCCATCGCATCTCTTGGATCCTTATTCCACTGATCTTCAAACGCGACGTATTTGTTTATAATTCAACAGGGCAGGTACAAGCCGTTATCTAACCCAAGGTGTGAAAGGGTTATCGTGCCTGGGGAAATGGAATGTTCGAGGGCCTGCAAAGGAGTGACTTTAGGTTGGAGATCGTCCTTTTCATCCTCATTGCAAATTTGCTTGAATTTTTGCTCAAGGATGTGACCCTAAGGTCAATGGGGTCTTTTATGAGAAGAAGTAACCAGTGGAACTACCAATAGCTGCTCATTTTTGAATTGAATCTCACCTGACTTGAGCAGCGGTTGGTAAAGGGCTAGCAGTAGAAGATGGCGTTTACACTCCCACACGATGAAGTTGAGCTTCTGTTCCATTACAGTTGCTTTAATTGATCCGGATTCCGTTCTATAGAGAAATTGGATGCAGTTAAGAGCGTAGAACAAATAGTTAACGGTGAGGGAATAATGGTTATTGAACTGGTTCTTTAATATGGTAATAAAATCGGTATCTAGTAACGTATGTAGGTCGGTAAAGAGAAATTGGCGTAATTTCACTGGAAACCAAACGAGTTCCACTTCGTCGCCGTTGTTCGGTCTTGTCCGAAATGATTACTCTTTTGACTTTTCCAGAGCTCAATCCCGGCCCTCGACCTGATCTTGAGGTTCGAAGGAATAGGAAAGACCTAGAGCTAGCCCTATTTTGAAATGATTTCATAACCACCCAGAAGTACAGTTCCGAAGTGATGCGACGATTTAACCGAGAGACCGCGGATGGGACAAGATACGCGTTTGTCGCGATCGAAGAATTCGGGTTCCAAACATACCAGTTTTGTGCTGCTAATTCACATACATACACTCACGAACACTGTTTACTACTCCAACTACCGCAAACGTCGCGTCCATCGCCTGAGTGCTCGATCGGCTGATGTTCTCATCGTCGACGTCGTCATCTATTTTGGTGGGTTAGGTGTGATACTTGTACTGGTAATGATGGTAGAGGCTGATGTGCATATGCCACTGGTGGGTGCTGGTTGTTGGTCAGAAAATAATTGTTTTTTCCATGAATTGTATAAATAACAATGTCGTTTTCGACTATCCGGTTGCCAGAAAAGTGCTAATCGTCGCATCGCAAACGCGAAAATGCTCGTCCGTCCGCCGTTCGTTCAGCCGGCCACAACATCAACGCCTCGTGCATCACCATCCCCAACTTATCCATGTTCTAAAGGGCATAGAAAGTGATTGCTGTATGTTGGACTTTCCTTTTTAGGACCTTCATAGCATTTCCATTCGAAGGACTTATGAAGCCTTTCAGTGTGGTTCACATTTTTTCTCGATAACATTTCTTGAAGAGTTCTAAGTTGAATGGCATAACTGTTCAATTATAAAAGCTGCACTTAGTCAGGTAAGGTTATACCCACCTTTATGGGTAAATCTACCTTTGAAAGGTTAAGTTGTTCCAGTAGGTTTTGTCATGAACTTCCTCGTTCCAGCAGCTATGATTCTTCAAACCTTTCCATGAGGGCCTCAAAACTCATGGCTTCCCATATGGGTCAAGATTTGGCCTTGAATGAGGTGCCATCAATCGAGGGTCCTACAGAACCGAGGGTAGTTCCAATCCCAATCGCGGTTTCTGTATAGTTTGAGGCAGGTTTCGAAAACCCTGCAGGACCATTCGAGAAAATTTCCTTGTCAGCCCAGTTTCCTTCTTGGAATGATCTGCTTCTGTTCCCTGTTCACAAACCTTACGTGTAGCCTTTCTTCGTGCTGTCCTTGGTGGATTAGCTGTTTAAGTCGAATGAAGTGCAATGGCTTTAGTTCGTTCGGCATTTGGGCTTCACCCTGAAACAGCACCTTTACACATCTTGAACTTCACTAAATTTCAGTCTTGCTCTTCATAAGCGTGTGACACTGAAGGCCTCTTCTCTCCTATGAAATTACCTTCTGTCGTCGCTTTCAAGGCTGGAAAATTTCTGGCTAATCGTGGATATAGCTTTCTGTATGAGTTGAAGTGCTTGAAGTCCTTGGTGCTTGTTGAGGAGCAATTTAGGAAAGGGATGTGTGGATAGGTGTGAGTGTGACGAGTATAATAAAGGTTTCAAGTGGATCGTCGTCATAAGGGCTATGATGACGGTGGTGGTGGTGGTGGTGGCTGCTGCCAGCAATGGCTGTTCATTCCCCTATCGGTCGTCTGTGAAATTCGACACGATCGACAAATTGCCTTGTGAGTGTCGAATTGAATTGTTCACACCGCAATTATCACTTTCCGAACTGAAGTTTTGGTCCAGTTCTCATGTTCCCATGGCTTGTTATGGCCATTTCTTTGTATACGCTGTCTAAGCGCATTCAAGCTACCTTCCAGAAACCTCGAACAGAACCTACTTCTATGGAGCAAGTAGTTATTTTATTCTCTTTCGCACAGCTATTGGATGTTTACAATCTTGAAGGAATATTGATTGAAATCGTTTTGTGAAATGGCAAAAACGGACGAACGCCTCCGTTCTTTTCCTCTTTTCTACAAGGAATCGTGCTGATTTTGGTTTTTGTTCTGATTTTTCTCCATATTTCCGTTTTTCTAACCATTTTTCATTCCTATCGACCAGGATAACTTCTCAAGTCGGAGTCGCTGCTGGGAAATTTGTGTAGGACATAAATTTTGACAGAATTCCTACTGTCACGGGATGGTACGGAGGAGCATGGGCTTTTCTGATAGCTTGTGCTCGACAATAAAGTAGCTTCTAACTTGGCGCACAGCCAAGTACATGCAGAACTATAGTCCCTTGTAATTTTAGGGAAAGTTTCTGTGCGAAATTTTCGGTTTTCGAGAAAGGGTTTTGACGGAGCTTCTTCCTCCTTCTATCAGCCCAGTTCCTATCCTTTCGGAGCATCATGATCGACTGCCTGAGAGCGTTTCTCGTCAACTGGGTTCAGACTTTTTAGCAAGCGTTTTCCGATACCGTATCCATAACGTTGCTTCTACTTTCTCCAGCTTGGAATTATTGATAGATTTTGAGCTTTACTTCGGGCTCAGTTCAGTGGAACCAATAATCATCCGATTAATATTTAAACGGTTGTTTATGTGGCTTATCCTGCAGATTTCACAGTACTTTATACTAATTGATTGGCACTCGAAGTAGTAAGGGTTTTCGTGTTGTTTTGGCTTATGGTAATGTCGACAAACTCACGACCACCACTTATCTTCTTTACAGTATACCGAATTTGTTCGTTATTTCGATTGAACAATATTTCTGATCATTGTAGTTGTTTGACAGAGAATTAACTCTTAACCAAACAGGTAATTTCGCGCAATTAAAGAGAGTTGGCGTGAATTTGCCCTTTCATGGTGTGGTATTTTGATGTTGGGGAAAAATGATGACTGAAAATGCAAAACCGGATATGTGTGGGGGTGATTACACTGTCGTTCATTACCGTTTATATTTACCTGGACAAGAATCCCGCGAATGTATGGGACCTTCTGGGTGGCTCGTCTAGGGGAGCTTCGTCGTTTACATCTTCTGGCCGTCGTCACCGTCTTGGACACTGCTTCAGTTCGTTGTGATCGGTGGTCTGGTGATCGTCGCTAGAAATTACTGAACTGGTCTCTTTTTGAGCACACAACGAAAATGGGCGCCACTTTGTGAATCGAAACCAGTTGATGTAAGATGTATGTTGGCATGGTGGATGGTGATGGTGATGGGGTGGCGATGATTTACTGTTTTATCCCCGCAATCACTGGGGTAATCTCCCTAGGTAATAGAAAGACGGGATTTCCAGAAGCAGCTCCATTCTTTCATCTGCAACACCTTTCGATCCCCGTGACCCTGGCCCGGTCTGGAAGTGGGAGCTTCTTCCCGAGTCCCGAGCTTCATTCTGAGTATTTCTGCCTCTCGCATGCATGAGAGATCTCTCATCAAAGATTGAACATCGTAAGACATTGCAAGTCATAATACTCAAAATCTGGGTAGTTAGTAGAGTTGTAAGCCTCAAGTAAAGCTGTAGAGCTGCTATGCGACATGAAACTACTTATATTACGTATTCCATAATCTCCTATCAATCTTATCCCGTTATTAACTTTTGCATCACTATCAGGGATTAGCTGGATTTAACATCCCAATACGGATATACCTCGTTCCATTAAGATTTTGTACTAATCAGCTCTGAAATGCAGTGACTCAGTTAAGATGAATTTCGTGTTCCGGCTGCTGCCACCACGTGCCAACGACATCTCCTCAGTGATTCTCTATTAGTCCCTGAATTCTTCGAGTTTCTCTAACCCCCTTCCATTCTCCCTCCCCACTCTTCCACCCCACTAGAATTTTTCAAAATAGGTACCCGAATCGCATCGAAATGTTGCGAAATAACGAGGTCTTTCCGTGAAGTACTGAAATCATAACAATTTCGAAACCGGTTTTCAAAGCATTTCAGTCGAAAATCTAGGAATTTTCGGGATTGATCTCTTGGTTTTTGTTTTCAAAGAAAGACCCAATGACAACTATAATGAGCAAATACGGTTATTACCATTTTTAGGATCTTTTCCTCTGTACTACTTACCAACCCCGTAGAGTTTGTTTGTGGGCTTTCCTGGAGTATTGAATCCCTAAAGGTCGCTCTTCGCAGTACTAGTTTTCTAACGTTGTTTCGGAATTTTCGGAGTAGATCTGCTTGGATACTCGTAGAATTAGAGATTACGAAGCTATTTTAACAAATGTCCGAACTATTTCTTTCGAAATAGACCCCTTAAAGCAGATTTTTTGGCGACACGGGCTTCGCTCCTCTGATCGCGAGGTGACCGTTCCATGACGGTTTCGATTCCAACACCGGTCTATATATATATAAATTAAATTAGATTAGAAATTCCAGGGCGAATATCTGCAAATGGAGGGCCTTTCCAATTTTGGCCTAATTTCATAACGTGTTATTGGCTGGCTGCTGAGTAATTTCATTAGAGAAATGAGCCTATTGGTTAGATTTTCGTTCTTAGTCGTTGCAAATATCGTTCAGGGTTAGTTTTCTTAGGCGATTAGTTCTTCAGTGGGTAAGATTGGATTGTAAGTTCAGATAAGATGAGTTATTAGAGCGAGACAAACGATTTTATGAGCTTCTGCAATCGTTTCTTGGGTGATTGGGCTCAAATCTCCTTGGGGAAGTATATAAGCATTCTTAGTGTCTGAGGTGCATTATGTAGCAACGTGCAGGGTCTTTCTTCCTGCCACCTTCGTCTTCGTCTTCTGCTGTTTTGGAAACTACACTTGTTTAAAGGCGGTCCGTTTCGCTGCTGAGCTTGCACCTGGATGATAGGTCACTTTCGGAACTCCGGTTTGATGTGTCTGGAAAAATTCTTGATATTTCAATATGGACGGCAACAAAAGTCGTTTATTTTTCGACAAAGCTCTGGGACATAAGAGGGTGTCGTTATGCATGACGACGGCGGAATGCTTAAAATTTCAATGAAACTTTAATGAGCGAATTGTATACATTTGATAAAGAGGCGGTGATGAAAACGTGATGGTTCGATGGAATTGTAACGTTGACGTTGTTGAATTGGAAATCGTACACAGACGGAGATCGCCAGGCAATATTTTACTTCTTCGTGGGTGGTCACTGTCGTTCCAGGGGACGACTACCGTTTCTTCATTGGACTTTGTTCTAGCTCCGGATAATATCTACAAAATTTTTCTCTAACTCTGACTTTCATTCTTCGAATTATCTAGTTTATACTACTTCTAGTAAGGTTCCAGTAGAATATAGAAGTTTTGCTGACTCCGTAAACTCCAGCTACCTGGGTGAGCTCCAGCTACCTGGTGCCGTTGTCCCTCTCCATTGGTTTGCTTCTCCCCTTGGAGGGAAGTGTGGCTTTATCAGTCAGTCCCGCCCATTTAATATGTGAATCTCCTAAATAGAACAATGTTTACATGCGTGACTTGTTCCAGGATGATTGTTCCGTGATTTACTTGCAAATGAAAGTTTTAATAGCTTTCTTTTAAGTAGAGTTTTGTTAGAAGATAGTTTCCTTCTGTTTCCTATCTGCCAATCAACTGTTTTATTACGGTCATAACTATCTTCGAAATAGATAAGATTTTATGGGAGGAAAATTAGCGAAGGGAAGAATTAGTATGGAATTTATCACAGCCCTTTCTCAGCATTTACTTAAACCTATGTACTTACTGTCCTTATTATCTGTTAACATTCCTCAAGAATTGAAAGAAACTAATTTAAATTATCGAGCGATTTTGCTGAAACTACTGGCTGCTTTTCCAATGAACTTCGCTTCTGGCACTAGATTTACACATCAGAACACTCCAGGAGGCTTAAATTTATATTAGACCATAAGATTGCTTAGAAACTTGTTAGAGACTAATGTTTTTGTATTAAAAGGCATAGGTTGTAAAGTATTCTATCCGGGATTGGGATTCCAAGGTCATTCGGCTTTTTCTAAGCGGATTTCACTTCAAAAATAGGTAGAAATGTGCACTTTTGTGCATTCATGGTACGATATTAAATTGATTCATGAGTATACGTTCATAAACTCGGATATGGGAAAAGCCTAGACCCTTCAGGGATTTTTAAGAACATGTAGGTTCCTATACGATCCTCCCGTATCCCTTTTCTTTGATCTTCCTTTCTCTCTGTTCCCTAACCGATCCAAGATCATTGTGAAATTGACAGCGTCGTCGTATTTTCTAGAAGCTCCTGTCAAGGGAATAGATGATGAACTGTTGTTTACTTGTTGTTGACGTTGTAGATTATTCCTTCTCAAATCTAAGTTGTTCGAGTTTTCCCGATTATTTTGTATGATGATCAGTTAAAAATGAATTTTGGTCGTTTTCAGGACGAGGAGACGACCCAAACGGGTGGTGGTAAAGTGTTCAATCCGGAAGCGTACTGTGACATTTGTCAGGTAAGTACCTACCATATATTGGCCTTTTATAGTTCTCTCTCTATCTGTCTCCTCCTCTATCGCTATGAAGTCCCATTTTCGTCGTTGCATTGGTCATGCATGATGGTTTTTGTTATTTTCAAGATTTTAATTTGATTTACTGGTTGTTAGTGATTATGGCGATGTTCTACTGAATGGTGAATAAAGACGTAGGACAAGACAGGCGCAATGGTGCCAACGACTTGGCCTGCCTGTTGGTTGTGTGTGTAGTGTGCCAGTGTTAAATAGACGTTCTGATGCATTAGTCGATTTTTGTACGTGAGCATGTGTTCATTCGATTT